AACGGATTGCCATTGTTGTGCTGGAGGTGCTCGAACCCCGCGAGCGGATTCGCGGGCTCGTAATTGCTGCGCCCGGTCGTGTGTTCGCGGCGCATCGCGAGCGCCAGCATCTTTTCAACCTGTCCCGTCGCCGGTCGTCGTCGCGGTGCCGATCCACGTGATCCTCGCGCCCAATCTCGCGCGCACCGCCGACTCGCGTGCCTTCGTCGACGACGATGCCGTGGAGAACGTGGGTGAACGCACGTACATGTCACGGCGCCGCTAAGACACCCTCGCTACCCGGGATTACTCCGGTCATTCGCCCGTTCCCGCACGGAGTTCAGTTCGCGCCACAGTCAGAATTTCACGACAACGAACGGATAACACACTTGAGCTGAGAGACATTCGGTGATTTCCTCGATCGTGAGGCAAATTTGACGTAGAACACGCGGATTTGTAGCATGTGATCCACGCTATCCTTCAGCACGAACGATTGCTAACGTCCTCGGGGAGGATAAGATGCCAAAGGACTCGCTGTTATATATTCCGTATCCGTATGAGAGTTTGCGAATCGATTGCGTGCGCTTCCTCAACGCACCCAACTATTCCTGATTATATTGTCAAGCACGTGGAACCCGTATATGGTCACGCGAGCGAAACTTCGCTGGACGTTAAATTGTTCTCGAGCAATTATCCAATAAATTGGTACTTGGTATCGCTCTCCTTCGAATGGTATCGCGTTGAACTAGAATCGCTTGAAGCGTGCCGGAAAAGGATGTTCTCGGAGCGTGGCCGATAAACGAACGCGACGTACCGGTACGAGTGCTGGTCGCACTGTATCACCGGAGGATACCGCTCTCTTGCTCTTCCTTCGTGTTCCTCCAGCGCATCGACCTTCCGCTCTCTTTGACACGTTGGCCCCACCTTCGGTTCTCTTCCTTCTCGCGCGCCTTCGGCTCCTTCCTCTCTTTCGCGAATCCCGTCGCAGGTCGCACTGTCCTCACGCGCCGGCTCCTATTATCACGCTCAGGCTGACTCGCGTCTATGCGGTCCTCTCGTCGGTCCTCTCGTCGGTGCTCTCGTCGGTCCTCTCGTTGATCCGATGGCCGATGGCCAATGGCGGTGCGCGGTGCGAGGTGAGGAGGACTTGAGGAGAGAAACCCGTGGACGAAGGCGAGACCGGGCGAGGCGACGAAGGCGAGACAAGGCGAAGAGAAGCGTAGAGAAGCGACTAAAGGGGTTCAGCGATGGCCCGCGCTAGACTAATAAAGCGTGGCTCGCGCGCGAAGCTGTCGGGTGCCTGGAGAGCGCGCTCGCACGTTCGCGCGCTCGTGCACTCACGCGGGCGAAGAGACGCGGAGAGGAGAGGAACCCCCTCGCCGATCAGAGGCGGTTTGTGATGTCGTTGGCGCGTCGCGTCGCGCGCTCGCGCTCGCGCTCGCGTTCGCGTTCGCGTTCGCGTTCGCGTTCGATTCCCCGCGACGTTACGCCGCGCCGTCGGTCGGCCCAGGCGATGCGATGACGAGATTCAAACGGCAGCGTCGTCACGTGTCGTCGACATCACCCCGTGGGTACTCCCGCTACTGTTGACGGTGATTGTCTACGGTCTACGTGAAACAGCCCCCTCTCATTCATCCCCCTCTTCCCCCCTCCCTCCCCCTCCCGCCTCTCGTCTCTCGTCTCTAGCCTCTCTACTTCCCTCCTCCGCGTCTTCGTTAGCTTCCTCTCGCGGGTTCTCTCTCTTTCTCTCTCTCTCTCTCTCTCTCTCCTCTCGCCCTTGTCTCGCCCCCGTTTCTTCCACGGGTTCCGGGCCATTCGTCTCTCCCGCGTGGTCTGCAATCTCCATTCATTCCTTTCCCCCGCCACCCTTCGCGTGCAAAGGATGTCTTCCCTCTTTTCGCCGTGTATATACCTTCTCGCGCGCCGTATTTCCCCCGTTCCCCGATCCGAACCTGGTACATCTCGCGGTGTCCTCTCTCCATCCGGCTATCCCTCCCCTTGGTACCGACGACCGGCTCCACGTTCCCTTCCTCGAGGTATACGATAGCGTCTCTGTCTCGTCAATCTTTCCTCTTTCTCAGTGCCCCGAACGTTTGAACACCAACGCGTTCATCGCCGGTACCACAACCGACGTTCGCCGGGTGACGTCACCGGCGTGGGCGCACCCCCGTGCAAGAGAAAGAGAGAAAGGAAAAAAGAGATGGAGAGAGAGAGAGAGAGAGAGAGAGAGAGAGAGAGAGAGAGAGAGAGAGAGAGAGACTGACTCTTTCTCCCATCTCTCTTTCCAAGCGTGTCCTCTTTTCTCTCATCTCCTTCTCTCTTCCTTTATCCCCGTGAATTCCACTCCTCCGCTTTCTGTGGTCCGAGTTTATCTCCTTTATCTCTCTCCTTTCTTGCTTTTTGCACGCGCGTGCCGGAAGACACCTAATCGATCGGTGACACAACGCAAGGAGTCACGGCAGAACAGTGCCAAAAAAAGGAAACAATAAAAGTTTCACGTTCATCAATTTTAGCGATAGATCGAAAGATGCGGGGATCGGGTAGGACCATGGATGGACCGGGATGGAAGTCCACGGAATCGCCATTCGACAAAGGATTCAGAGGTCGTCGGCCTCGCAGCTTGAACCTATTTCGTTCTCCGAGTGGAAAAGGACAGTAGCTCTTCAGCTCTTGGAGCTCAGTTTACCCTCAAGAAAATATGCAAAGCACGACTACACGACCGAGGATACAAATTCTCGAATTATCGTGAAAAACACGATGAGCGAAATGATGGGAAAGCAAGAAACGATTGATCGGCAACTGAAAAATTTCGACGATGGCCGATGTCGATGACGACGTCGGAGGCTATGACGATGTCAACGTCGACTATGACGACGATAATAAGAGACGCGATGACGATGACAACGACTAGCGACGGAAACAACTACGACAACACGAATCACCATGGCGGTGGCATAGTCACAAGCGTTGCGCGCCATATCGGGTAAGACTGTTCTACGTGGGCTTAACATCTATCTCGCCGTCTCCCACCCCTGGCCTCGCGTTACCGAGCAAACACACCTTTTTAGCGGCATTTCATTAATATCATAATGGCAATGGAGATCAAGCGAATGAGTCGGCCTGCCCCGGGGGCAGACTTGGAACCAAGAGGCGCTTCTTCGTAGCCAACGCCTCTCGCCGTACGCTAACTGTCTCGCGTTCGAGCAGATCATTTGTCTTCCTCAGTAAAGTACAACTACGCATGTTGTAGACCCCAGCGATTCTCCGCTGGGCACGAGTCGCTCTCGCGAGGTCGCGAAATGATCCTCCGCCAAGATATTCCTTTCTTTAGAATATTTTGTAAAAACACAGACTTTTGCGTTTATCTCGTTAAGTTAAACTATTTTTTATTGTACTGCGATATTATTGTTATCCATAGAGGAAACAAAGAATTACAATCGTAATATAATGTATATAAGAATTCATATCGCAATGACACAAAATAAGCAGATATTGTTTCCTTTTATAACTGGCTGCGTTCAGTAGAAAAAGTAGCTTTGCAACTGTTGTGAAATTCTTTAATATGATCTTGCTCTTAATTTCTCATTGAATCTAAATGTATAAATTAATCACATTCCACTCAGTTGCAAAGCTGTTTTTTCTGCTGAACGTAGCTATTTTTTACAAACTTCATACATTTTGCACTCTTATATTTTGAGGAGATATTCAGATTTTTAAATATTGATATAAAATTTATAATGACGATCATTGGATCTAATTTGAAATAGGAGATTTTAGATGAAAAAATAAAACTAGCTCTATTCAAAGGTATATAAATTTTCTGCAGACCTCTCCAATGTTGGAAACTGTTTACAGCAAAAAAGTATAATTTACGAACCCTCAAATAAATCGTTACATTGTAACCGAGCTCGTCTATTCGCAGTGCGTGGAACGACGACCAAATTAGAAAAAAAAAACCTGGCTACCGAGCGCGTAATAGTCGATTGGGTTATTACGAACAATTCGATGAGATAACTCGCTTGGGATTACCGAGCCTCCTTAGCGCGCCGGTTCTATTCAACGAGTTATAGATAAAGTGCACGCGCGCGTATATGCCTGGCTCTCGCGAACCACCTCATCCTGACTAATTACGGCAAAGCCACGAGCGACACCGGATTAGCATTCCGGTCGCCTTAGATACGAGAAGTTGCGAATGAACGTTACCTTCGCGCCGCAAGAAGAGGGGAGGACGGTTTCTGATTCTGACTGTAGTATATCCGCTCTCTCCTTCCCCTCTTTTCCTCTCCCTCGCTCTCCCTCTGAGAGACATAATTCGAAATTGTCGGCTGGGTCAAAGAGCAGAACTCGGCTACTTAAGCGAGTTGACTCTGGTGTTCTTCGGGGTCACGTGCCACAGCTTCTTCTTCTCCTGCTGTAATCTCCTACCGTTGCCCTTGTTCTTCCTTCATTATCGTATGGAAGAATTTTGACTAGAACGGCTTAACATTAATGTCACGGTATTCGTGTGTATTTTCACGCTAGTAATTAGCGCAACAACACAAAATTACATCCATGATGATATATATAAATTTTTATATAGATAGATTATTCTCTCTCTTTCTCGTACAAAATTAGCTGTAAATATAATAATAAAAATGTACAATACCAAGAGTTACAGGATGTCCTAAAAAAGAATCATTTAATAAATCTTATCAAAATCTTTTACTTGAAAGATGAATAACGATCACAAAACGATTGTGAGTAAAAAATCTTTGATCAATGTAGACCAAAAAAATTAAGTACAATATCCTAGATAGAAACTGTTTTGAAAAATTCAAAATAAGATTTTGCGATCTGATATTGTCGCAAGTACATT